CTTCAACCATATACTCTATGAGGACTTTAGCAATGTGCTTCATATTCTACATTTTCTATGCATTGTAAAATGCTTGTTAGTTTAGTATCTTCATTATATTCTCACTTTCTAAAAGCAGCATTTTTGAACACAGGACACTTTGGGAGGAAATTTGAGATGTAAAAAATTTGAACTTCTGCATCATCCAGCTCATTTGCCTATAGCTTGACTATATAAAACTTACCCAAGCACTTTAGAAATGACTGACATTGATATATATGTTTAAAGAACCTAAGAATTAAATTCACACAAATGGTATGGAATAACTTTAATCATTTATCTGCATGTATTGCTAAAAGCATGAGTACGACTAAGCTGGATAGGAAAAGCCTCCTTAATTCCCAGTACATCTCCTGAATAGAACATTCTTGTCATGAGAGTCCTGATGGCACACATTATGTTTTCATTTCTGAGACTGTAGATAATAGGGTTGAAGAGGGGGGAATCATGGAGTAGAACACAGACAGGACCATGTCCATGACACCAGAAGACATTGCAGAAGGTCTCAGGTAGACATAAAAGGATGAGCTGAGGAAGACAGAAACCATGAGAATGTGGGGGACACAGGTGGAAAAGACCTTTTTCCTATCTGCTCCCTCTGGAGACCTGAGCACAGTAGAAAAGATGTGAATATAAGACTTGATGATATAAAAGAAACAGCTGCCACCAAACACCAGACCAGAGACAAGAATGGCAATCTGGTTGCTGAAGGTGTCAGAGCAAGACAGCTTTAGCAGAGAGGGGATATCACAGAAGAGCTGCTGAATAGTATGTGAGTGGCAGAAGGGCATACAGAAAGTGTTGGTGGTCTGTAGGGCTGCATAGACGAGGCCACTGAGCATAGCAGCCAATGTGCTGTGGACACACAGGTGAGGGTTCATGATCACAGGGTAATGAAGGGGCCTGCAGATGGCTGCAAAGCAGTCATGAGCCATTATTGTGAGAAATAATAACTCTACAAATGCAAAGAATATCACAAGGAAAACCTGAGCTACACATCCTGCCTTTGAAATGGAGCTTGTGCCCAGCAGGGAATTCATGCAGGAGTTAGGGACTGTGACAGAAATGTAGCAGGAGTCCAGGATGGACAGGTTTCTCAGGAAGAAGTACATGGGTGTATGATGGCTCTTATCAAGAGTAGTGACAGCAGGAATGACAAGGTTTCCCATTATGGTCACCAGATAAATGAAAGAGAAAAACATGGCATAGAAAAGTTGTAGAACCCACATGCCAGAAATCTCCATGAGGAGAAAGTCCATCATTGTGCTGGAGTTGGACATGTGTGGGTGATATGGTCTGTGCCTGAAAAGAAAAGACAGAAGTGCTGAACACAGGAAGAATCACAGTGTGGAAAATACCTTCATAGCTATTAAACTCCAGACCCAGGGATCACAGGGATGTTCAGTGCCTGGATCTCCTGATATTTTAGGATGATTCTCAGTTTGTCTGAAAGATAGTCTCCATCAACCTAAGTAGGTATTCATTGTCATTGTTTCTCTGTTTATAATTTTCTCCTGCATTGAAATTTATGTGACTTGTTTTCTGAAGGTTATTAAAGTTTGTGACATGTGTATGATATATATATTTGTATATATATATATCTTAATACTGTTTCAATATCATTAAAACACTGTTCTAACTAGATTTTACTGGCTCATGTGCAGTTTCTAAAATGTTACAAGTCGATAAAATGTATCACTTTATAAGATTAAGAAATGAAAAAATCCTACATTCTAGTATTTTAAAAGAAATTAAAAATACAATAATTTGCAGTGTTAAGACCATAGCTTATTTAATTCAATATCCTTGTTTGCATCTTGGAGTGAAACAAGCTTGCTTTCTATTTTTCTCTCTTTCTGTCTTCTTCTGTGATCCTCTTTCTTTTTCTTAGGATCTAACCCAGGACCCAGAACACTTTCTATGCTAAGGAGCTGCTCTACCAATTAGGCATAAAAAATAAGCATAAAAGTGCCAGAGATTGTTCTATGTCTG